GCTGTGCGCCGAGCTGCGTGCAGGGCCGGTCCTGCCCTTCGCGCTGCTCCGCCGCCTGCACGCCGCGCTGCGGGACGCGGGTGAGCACCGCCGGAGGGAGGCCCGTGCGGGCTTCGTTTGGCGGGACGGGGCTGCTCCGGGGCCTAAGGCAGCGCTTCCCAACCGCGGTGTCAAGAATATGTGAGCGTGGCGAACAAACTTTAAACACCGGGGCGTCCTTTAACAGAGAAAACGGGCGCAGGATGGAGAAAACTGCCGCTCTTCTCTTGCAGGAGCCTGCCCATGCCCCCTGCCCTGCACACATCCCCGACCCCACGCTTGAGGGGCAGCAGGGCGGGAGTGAGGGGCGCTGGTCATCGGTGCTTACAAATGGGCCCCGGAACAGAACAAGGTTGAGAACCCCTGGCCCAGCTGAGCCGTGGAGTCCGTCCAGCCCCGCTCCCCCCATCCGCTGCACGGATACGTTTTGAGGCCACAACGAGTGTTTTTAACGTCTGGTGATGCTGGGAGGTGTCACGTGCTAAGGTTCGCTGCTTGCCCTGATCGATAAGGAGTGAGCAGGTCCTTTCCACTTGTAGGGAATCCGGTGTACCTCCATGAGCTGCTGGAAGGCAGTGAGATCGATTTTCCTGAAGTGGAGAAGCCTCCAAGGGTACGTAAAAGGGTGGGATTGTCCCCGCGGGGAGAAGGTGAGCTCTGACCTTGCGCTGGCCAGTGTAATATCAAGACTAGCTAGGCAGTATGGGCGCCAGGGTCTGCGTCTCTTAGCCGAGGCTTGTAAGCACAAAGGAAACAGGGGCCTAAGGAATGTGCAAAAATACACAGATGTCTTCTTTGTTCTCAGTCTAGTTTTTCCATGTTTATTCTCTTTCTTCAGAATCCAGAGCTGGTTGCCCGCCTGGAGAAGATAAAGGCTAAGCTTGCCAACGAGGAATACAGGCGCATGACAAGAAACATCAATTGTCAGGTCAGAGGGAAAACAGTGAGGCTGCCAAAGAAAAATAAACCTGACTTCTCTCTTCTTCATTAGCTGCATAGATTCACTCAACCCTGCGGTACTGCCGTAAGCGTCGTGGTACTGGTGCAGCCAGCCACGGCACCCAGCTTTTTAGTGAATTGGAGTCTATAGCTCAGAGGCAGAAGCATCCTGGAGTTCAGAGGAGACCTCTCTCATGTGAGTCTCCTGTGAACTCCTGCTAGGCTCCAGACTCACTCTGGAGGCAAACGCTGTCTCTCTGCCACTCATACATTTGTCAAGAACGAAACTGCCGAATTGGTATTGTAAAGGATGGAATCTGCGAGCCTCACCACATGCAGCCCTCCAGTTGGCACACGCAGGGAACGATATAGTTGGAGGGTTGCGGGGTAGGAGGCCATGCTGAGATAGACTCCTAGCGGAGACAGACATTTAGGAGGAAACTAAATGTTGTGTTTCTGTTTTTACCTTATTCCCTTAGGATGTGTGCCGGGATGGGACTCTGGCTGATTTGGGAAGGCAGGGTAAGTCAGGTAGCAAAGCAGTGGTGAAAGCTGAGTAAATGCTGTTGCCTGCCTGTTCTCTGAGAACGTCCCCTCCCACTCCAAGAAGGGCCAGAGGCTTTCCAAAATGCTCTTAAAACGTAAAGATATTCAACCTACCAATAAGACGGTCCAATTTTAGTTCTTAAACAGTAAATAAATCATGGTACAGATATTTGGCCTGTCAAAAGGTGAAGGGCTATAGGAAACCTCAGTGGATCAAAGTCTGGAAGAGGAAGAAAGTCCCCTGAAAGATGTGAGATCTGCTACCCTGGCCCCAAATAGCATGGCCAGTGACTTGAGACTGGTCAGTTTGCTTCCTCTCTGGTTCCAGCTGGCTTCCAACTGGCTGGCAGACCCCCTTTTCCGTTTATATCTCAGGTGACAGAGGTGCTTGCAAGTCGGAATAAAAACAGTCTCTTCTCTCCTCCTTCTCCAGTTAGGTCAGTGAAAGCTGTCATCATCACCATATTCAACTTCATTGTCACTGTGGCAGCTGCATTCGCCTGCACCTACCTGGGCAGCCAGTACATCTTTACCGAGACAGCAGCGGTGAGTGAGCAGAGACTTCTTGTTTTGAGGACGCCCAGGCTTGCTTGGGGCTGTCTCTGGGCAGGTTAGGCAGATGTGGCAGGAATGCAGTTTCTCTCAGAAGCAGGAGTCTGCTTGGCATACTCAGGCAGTATGACTAATGGGTTTTCTTTGTGCCCCCAGCGTGTGCTGTCAGCTGTAATAGTGGCCTCGGTGGTCGGCTTGGCTGAAATGTATGTGATGGTGAGGACCATAGAAGGGGAGCTTGGAGAACTGTAGTCGAGGCTTCCACCACATACTGTGATCTTTCAGCTGGAGGCCACCTTCCTACCCTGTGGGCTATTTATCAAGGCCACAAACATGCCTGGTGCTGGTCTGTGAATTCCTTGCAACTATTGTTGCTTCTATGGACAGTCTCCCCTCCCACAGCACTCCCTGCCTGCCCCCTTTCTGGAATGAGGCATTGGGTGCACTGACTGGTGTCTGCAGCATCAAACAGGATGTCCACACTGACCTTTCAGAGCATGCACACAGCACAGGGAGGAGCAGGAGATTAACTCTGCCTTTCTGGCTCTACAGATGCTCCTGCTGCTCCTTGTTAGAGACTACCTGGGGTATCCAGGTCTCTCCCTGCTCCCTTCATATCAGGGCCAGCTCCATTCTGGCTAGAGGTCTTAACACCTGGTTTCTGCAAATGCTTTTCATTCCTACAGGTTGAATCCCACCCTGCTGCTTTAGGGACAGGGGGATGTGTAAACCTGTTCAGGACTGACCCACCTCCTGTCCTAACTGCACTGCTTCCATCCTCTGCACATGGCAGCTCCTGGACATGGAGAAGGCAGTCCAGGCCCCAGCCCTCCACTTGTGCAGGGTGACTGCCTGCCTACTTCCTGACACTTCATAGAGCTGTTTGCCATTCTCTGGGAATGGGGGCGGAGGTTGGGATTGCTCAGGGGACCTCTCTCTTTGTTAATAAAGTTGAACCCTGCTTCTGCCAAATAAAGTGAGCAATTTGCTTCTGGACAGGAGTCAGGCTAGAGGCAGGGGCAGCAGCATGTGTGGGGGCTTGCAGCAGGGTTGGGGGAGGCAGAGGATCCCCAAATACCTCTTCTGCTGGGGGTGGGGGAAGCTGGGAGGAAATTGCCCACTTCCTCCCCGTTCTATGCAAGACTGAGCTTCAGGGCCAGTCCTCTCCCTCTGCAGATGCGCGCTTACTTTGGTGTCACCTGCTCCAGCCAGTGTCTCAGTTTCCCCTATTGTTTGGAAAAAACTTGGCTTGCCCTCTGAACCAAAGCCAGTGTTGCAGCTGTGCAGGGTCCAGTAAACCTCTTTTCCCCACCAGCTCACCTCTTCCTGAGATCAGCTGTTTCCTTGCCAGGGACCCTGGCAGGATGACCTGCTACCTACCCAACCCCTGGGCTGCAGCATAAGAGCTGGCTGCAAGAAGGGCAGCCTCTAGCACCTGTTGATCTTATTTGCTGGGCTGCAAATCTCAGAAGCCCTTAGCAATCAGAAGGGGAGCAGAACACAAGCCCTCATCCCCCAAGCTGACCCTGTCACTACATGGTGTTGTGGTGTGATGGGTTTTCCATCTCAGGGAAAGCTGATGGGTTTGCCCAGCCAGCCAGCCAGCCAGCCAGCCAGCCAGCCAGCCAGCCAGCCAGCCAGCCAGCCAGCCAGTCTCAGAAAGATGGGCAGACCCTGCACTGGGAACCGAAGTGGGCAAGGCTGATACCAGCTGCACCCCAGCAGCTGGCTGTTCCCTCCTTCCTTCAGGGGCCTCTTCTATTCCCTTTAGCTTCAGTGGAGGAGGGCCCTGGCTCTTCAGCTGCCTTGAGGTGACACAGACTCCTACAGAATCAGGCAGTGAGCTGCCGGGAGAAACTAATCCCACAGGCAGCTGCAAGGTGCTGCTGGAAGCCTGCCCTGGGCTCCTCTTTCCCTGCCCCAGACTGGGCAGAGCCCAGGGGCTGTGGTGGACTGGCCTCATAGCAGCACCACACTGCAGCAGGCAGCTGTGGCTCACAGGCCAATGCCCTGGCCTTTTTCTACTTGATCCGCTGGCAGCAGTACCCTTGCCTGGGCTGGACAGACTTGCACTGCCTAGGGGGCCATCCCAGACCAGCTGCCTGCACCCTGCCACTGGCCCCTGCAAGCCAGAGTGCCTGGAGCCATTTGCCAGGCAGGCTCAGAGACCAGCGAGACCCAGGGCTAGTCCGCAAAGCTGGGAGGGGAGGGCAAGGGAGGGGAGGGCAGGGCCGGGTGAGCCCCGGGCAGCATGCCAGTAGCTCCCCGCCTTGATTAATGTTCTGATGTCGGCTAAGCCCCTGCTAACAACGCGCTTTAATATTTCTGAGACATGCCAATCTGCCGGCGGGGCCGGGCCAGGCTGCGCGGGCCAGGCCGCCCCGTGGGATTAGGTGGGTGAATCCCGCGGGCCCAGATTAAGGTGCCGCTCGGGAAGATTAGTTGGCATTAGTGCTGATCGCCCGTGCCCCCACTTAGGAGATTGCAGGGCCGGACCGCTGCCAGCCCCCCCCAGCCCGGCCGCTCCCTCCGCGGTCCGGGCCCACTCCTCACCCAGCTCGGCCACCAGCGCTGCGCTGTAGATGAGGTCGGAGGTGCGGCCCAGCGAGGTCTGCCTGGCCACGGCCCCCGTGCCCAGCGGCTCCTCCTGCCACGGCCCGACGGGCTCAGGCTGGGGCCAGGGCAGCGGGGCCCCCCGGCAGCCGGGCCGCTCTGGCGTGGCACCCCTCGTCCTGCGGGCACGGCGGTTCTGGAACCAGACCTGTGGGGTCCAGGGATGCGGCCGTGAGCCCGGGCCGGCCCCGACCCCGGCCCCAGCCCCCCTGGCCCGGCCCCGCACCTGCAT